CTAAACAAGTTAAAAGATTACATTTCGTAATAATATATTATAACAATAGACGTGTTATGAGTTATAAGATTATTTTGAGACGAAAATTCTAATCCCAAAATGTCAAGGTTGTAATAATTTTTTAATCGTTTAAAGTTAGCGAATTATACCGCCTAAAATTTGTTCGAGTATGATATGTCGCAAAATGTTAAAAATGAAAGCTAATTATTGCCTCTTGTAAATATCAATATAAATATATTATGTATGCAAAGATACAATTACTGACATTGCTAATTATTGATATTTCTTATGTTAAAAAATATTTTCCCTCGGTATTAAGATTTTCGTCTCAAAATAATCTCTGAAATTTTCCCTTAAGCATTCCTTGTTCCTATCTTTACGGGACATTCTGTATATGTATATACGTCATTATATGAGTCATTTAGAAAATTAACTTGGCGCCAATTGTAGATATCAAATCTTTTATACGATTGATACATATCATTAAAGTTAAATAACAAAAATAGTACCATTTGGTTTTGTTTTTTTTTTTAATATGATAGAATTTAACTTGGCTAGTTAGGATTGTAGCATTTAGGTTTTAATTTTTAATTTGGTAAAATAATTTTTTTCGAGGAGTAATGATTTTTGTCAAAGAATTAAAGCTGCTATTATTTGGTTGGAATTTGGAATAAGAAGAAGACTTTCAATAAAAATATATCTTTGAAAAAGAAGAATTAAAATTATTACTTGGGTTGGAATAATAAAAAGATATGCAACGTGTAAAATCACTTAGGTTTTACTCGAGAAGCACATATAATATATTTTTGCTATTTTTAGCACCTTTTTTTATCTTATACATAAAATATATATGCGTATGTGTACATAAAACGTGAATTATTTGGAAAATAATTTTCTATTACTAAAAAATTCGTTGAAAATATGGCTTTTTCAGAAAGACCGATTTGATTGCAAAACTTGCAAATTGGTCAATTTTCCAAATGCGAGTGTATTAGAAAATATATTTCTTATATTAAAGTAATTCTTTATAGATTCGGCTGTTTACGTCGAGTAGCCAATGGTGATGTCGATATCACTGTGTTGGAGCCAGAAGAACTTGTGGCGATAAGAAACTACAAACTATACAGTGTACTAGTCACGAATGAATTAAGACTCTTCTCAGATGGTAATTATTAAGATAAAAAATTACGAGAAGCACATAAAGTGCCTGAACTTTGTCGATATAAATTTCAATTTAAATTTCAATCACTAATTTTTGGACAAATTTAAATTGTAACTATTTAAGAAATTTATTTATTTCAAATCAATTATTGTAAATAATCGGGACCGATGATATCAAAAAATTAACTACATTAAAATTACAATGATCTCAAATGACACATTCTTTTTTTTAGAGGACCATCGGTTTAAGGTAGTCGCCATAGCACACAAAAATGTGCAACGCATATGGAATGTCAAGGGAAAACGATTGTGTCATCCCGGTTTAGATACAGTCGATGATTGGACTAAAATTTTCTCAATGGTTGGTGAACTCTTTTTTTGTATCAACATTCTTTGGAATCGTGTTTATCTGTCGATCTCTCATATTTCAGTACTTTGAGAATCTGATAATTAAAAAAGAATGCGACGCAAATATGACGCTGTTCGAGAACAGAGTGCATGCTCTGTCCAACTACTTCGAAACGGCTTGCATCGCTGGCCCTTGGTCGGCAGACACAGCATTTGATTATCAATTGAGTATGTATTCAGTTACAAACATATGCGAATACAAACATTCCATTTTAAATGCGTGTGCATATTTAGATTTATTTATAATCATTATATAATTTATATTTATACAATATAATTTATACAACATGTAACGAAAGTTTTCATTTCATCGTGTACGAATAAGTGTCGGAAAAATCCTTATTATCATTCGCAGAATCGAGATATAGGAATCTCTGTGCCGCTTGCGAGAAACCAGCTAGCTGTTACAACACCGACAAATATTATGGACGGGAAGGTGCTCTGTTGTGCCTCACCGATGGCATAGGCGACGTTGCCTGGGTCAGATTAGGAGACGCTCGCGTACACTTTAAGGTAACTAACAAGTCAACTTACAGACAATGCAATTGCAATGTCTTTGAGAGAGGTGAGCTCAGAAAGAACCGATCTCGTTCTAAGTTATTCTAAAAAGTTATCATTTAAATGGATTGCAATGCAACTCGCGGTACTAACATCTAACGTACTTGGCACAGACACAGATGATCGATGTGCAAGATTACAAATTTCTATGTCCGGACGGCACCACGAGATCGCTAAACTTTGAGGAACCCTGCATCTGGATATCTAAACCATGGCCGGTCATTGTAGCTAGACCGTAAGTGTTCTCTCTAAGTTCTTTGGAATGAGATTCACCATTAAGAATTAATGAAGTTTTACGTCGCTCCTTCATGAAATAACTTCATATTTTAATTTTTTTTAACATACGATTTATGTATTATAGAAATTATGTATTGAAATATTTTAAAAAGTTTTCCTTTTCTTCAGATCGAATGCTGAGAATATCGCCCATATGATGAATTCGATGATGAACAGAACGTTCAGTTGGGAATCCAGTGTCTTACAGTTGATGGAGAACTATTACATTACCTCTACTGATGTGAAAGATTTGCAAACGCCCGATGATTACTTACATCGATGTAATGTATATACAACATGGTTATTTATCTTTGACTTTTTGTAACAAGTAATTTGTTAAAATATTGTATATAATCTATTATTTGTTAATCACTGAACAACTACATAATTATCAATTTCATAAACTTTCCTCGCACTTGATAACGTTTATTATAACTATATAATTTGTTAAATAGAGTTTTTCGAACCGCATAAACATTTTAATGTATGCAATTTGTTAATCTCTATTTATCAAAAATCTGTTAATAATTTAATTATTAATTATTAATTTAATTGTTAGCTAAGACTTTCACTTGAGACAGTGAAAAAACTTTAATTAAAATTAGAATCAATATATAAAAGTTCCTTATAAAAAAAATCTTCTAGAAATGTTTATGAATATAATATGATAAATAATATATTTCGTTTGTTTCAACAATGTGGATGTTCTGATCAAAGATCCAAACTTCTTGAGCGCTAACGTTCGAACGGGTTGTTTACCATCAAGAGACGTACGTTGGTGTCTGGTATCTAATCTCGAAAAGCGTAAGTGCAGCTGGCTAAGAGTCGCTTCTATCGTTTATGGCGTGGAACCGTTGATCTCCTGCCTTCAAGAAACTAGTAGAGAAGCATGCGTAGAGGCCGTCCGGGAAGGAAGAATGGACATTTTTTTGGCGCGGCCTGAAGAGCTTCTCGGAAACAAAATGTAAATACCTAAATATTAGCGGACCAATGTAAACATGATAAATAAAAATTGAAAATATTTTTTCACATCGTTTCTCTCGCAGAATGGGTTTGAAGCCTATTATCCACGCGATGGTGCACAGCCGGCAAGAATTGAATAGGATTGCGGCGGTTGTCAAGAGGAATTCCAGATTCAGAGTTATAAAGGATCTTAAAGGTGCCAAGGCGGCCTTCACGGGCTACAGAAGCGTCGGTGCGATTATATAAATGGGATATAATTTCGTATTTCGCAGTTTCAGTTACCCCAGAATTGTTTTTAATCCATTTCGCCGTTATGGTCTCTTGGTCCCAGGTTGGAACGCTTTTGTAACGTTAATGAGGAACGAGTCGAACGGAAATTGGGACTGTTCGGATGCGCAGGCTATTTCAAAATTCTTCAAAGATAGCTGTGTCCTCGGATGGAATAATAAAAATAATGGCAACGAGCTCCCGGCTAATTTACATTCGTTATGCAAGGAAGGTAAGATATAGAGAACACATACAGTCTCACATACACACACAATTATAAACATGTGCAAAGCGCTCGTAAATGAACTATAATCATAAAGATATGGATGCATTGCATAAGTAAATATATATAATAGACCGTTTAAACTCTCACGACTCGTTAAGAACAATATATAGAAGAGAGACATAAAACACGTTATGATTAATGAGTTGATGGATAATCAAAATTGCAATCTCGTTGCAGGTGCGGAATATGCTGATGACGATCTAAGTACTTTTAATTACTTGGCTTCCGGTGTCGTCGACGTTGCCTTCGTCAATTTAAAAGTCATAGAAAACAAAACGGAAGCTGGTGAGTTGAGTCGATTAATTGTTTCGATTAACTTTATTATAGTTTTATCTAATACCTTCTAATATCACAGGTGATTTTTATTACGAGAGAATTGATAATAAGAATATAAATCGTTTGCCTAAGTACAGAGTATTAGGTCCGACTTTGGCGGAAGCTATAAAAAGAGTTCCGTATTTGCTCGCTTGGGCGCCTCTCGGATCGGTATAACTATTTCCTTTTCAACGTATGATTTAGCTAATATTAGATGTTCTTATTGCAAATATGAATTTTTTTTTGTCTTGGCAGATAATGGCACACGAGAATATCACGGATCTAAGACGCCAAGAAATTTATACAATGCTAATTGAAATGGATAAGATATTTGGAAGAAAATTCAATGGACAAGCACCCACATTCTTATTATACGGGCCTTACGAGGATAATCATGGTGTTATCTTTCCTGTAAGTTGAGTACGGATTAATTTTATTTCACGAAAAAAAATTTATGTAACTCTAATACATGTTAGATCATCAAATTAATTATACTAATTATATTGAATGATCAAGCTGGTTGTTCGATGTCAAAACTTTTTCAGCAATGTCATTATGTTTGAGCGTCCTACATAATTATTTTGATGGTTTAGCATAATTATTTTCTAGTTAACTAAAGTTTTAGATACTTCAGCAAAACTGTTTTTTTTTTCCATATAGTAAAAACATTGTCGTAAAAAAATCAGATTAGATTATTCCAAATTGAATCAGTAAAGTTCACTCTGTATATAACAGAAAGGAAGAAAAAAGGAATTATGTGCTGGATATTAAAGATGCAAATAAATATTGAGATGCAATTGATTTATTTTAGTTAGAGAGTTTATTGCAGCTCTGACTAAAATCTAACGATTCTCTGGTGAATCGCGCATTTGATCTAATTTGAATCTTCACACATGCAGTCTAACGGTCGCTCGACGACATCGATTTTTTCTGAGAAAATCTCGTTCCTCGCGCATCCGTAATACACATAGCCTTTGACGCAATACGCCCAAGGAAAATGTGCGCACTTAAAGGATACTGATGGTATTCCTTTGTCAGTCAACGCGATTACACCTATGTCGGATTCCGATGGAAATGATCCTTCGGTTTTTTTTTCCAAGTCTTTTAACACGTCAGCAACCACTTCGTCGATCGACATCGCCTTTCGCCGCAGTCGTCGTAAGATCTTCTGGGCTGGCGCGTATTTATAAATAGTTTTATCGCAACCCGAAACAGACACACAGCCCCATTTATTAGCGTAAATACCGCAACCGATCGCTGTTCCAGTCGCACTCACGATTCCATGCAGCTTTCCTGGTTCTCCAGCTGTCGAGGTTCCGCTAGCCAGACGTTTTTTCCGATCATATGCCACTGCTCCAACCGCGCCAAGCTAAAGTAATTTTCTTTAAAAGTCTCATAAAATGTTCGTGCGGTAATCACAATAAAAAAATATTTTAATTACCTAAAATATTCAGAGCAAAAATATATTAGATCCATAAAGAAAAAAAAAGAGAGAAAAAAAGATTTAGATTTTGACGAAAGACACTTTTTTCTTCTGTCTCTTTATCTCTCTTCCACAAATTATAGGCTTGTCAGACTAGTAAAAACATAAAAACATAAGCTATAATGTATAAAATTTTACATTATATGTATATAAGAGTTATTACAGATACGAGTTTGTATTTAAAATATCTGAAAATTTAGGAAATTTTATGGCGTTTTCTCTTGGGATACATTGAGTGCAGCCTCGCACAGCACCAGTTGTGTATAAGCGCAACTTAGCTACACTACACTAGAGTGATGCACACCATGGTGTACATTACATCATTATTACACTAAAACCCTGTTCCCGTTTGACTTCCCTTTTTAAATTTTAAATGTCACACTGACTCTACATGTCCCTTTGAGACAGTGTAGCAAAATCTCACTTTGTGCATAAAATTTGCACTACACCGTAGCCACGGAAACATGATACACTGTCCGAGTGTTGCACTAGTGAGCAATAATGCAGCCAAGAGAAAACGCTATTAGATAAATCAAAAAAAATTTGAAAATTATACTTTTGTTTGAATATTCCATTATGTAATTCGCCATTATGATAAATTTATTAACCTGTATAAAATCAGGTGCAATTTCCAAGGATTTGTCTATCTCAGCGACTTTGAGAGCACTTTCCTCCTTGTCTCTTTCAATTACACATTCCGGTATGCATTCTTTTTTATTGGATTGTTTGTCCCCATCGTCTAAAAGCTCTCTTTCTTGTATCTTGTGCTTCTTATGTTCATCAGTATCGCGATTAATATTTTTAAAATTATAGTTCGTTTTTTTCTCTATCCTTTACCGTTATTTCCTTCTTCGTGCAAGGATGTCTTCGAATCGGACATAACGATCAATTGGCCAGGTGACAAAGTAGGAATGCCTGATTCCATACTAAACTTTTGCGCTCCAGCTTCGACTATCAATACATGTTCCGTTTGCTGCAAGACCATTTTGGCTACGAGAGTGTAAAGCATTGAAATTTAAGCAGGTGATAAATAAACATAATCATTTCTTTGATGTAAGCGATTTGCTAAGAAAGACAGACCTAATGTTATAGGATGTGCTATATTACGAACGGCACCCACACAACCTACGCGAAGATCATTCGTCATTATCGCGGCATCCATCACGACCTCTCCATTGACATCCAAGGAGCCTCCGTATGCACAGTTAAAGTATTTTTTGCTCTCCATGTGACAAATTGCACGTTCAACCGCATCCAGCGAATAGCATCCTTTAGTTAGATCGTGATACGCCGCTATTGCGGCTTTCTTTACCTAATTCATCATAAATATTCAATCACCATTTTCATTTCTAAACAATATTTGTATTACTTTAAATACGAAACGCCACTACGTTTAAAATGTTGAATTAATTCATTTAAGTATAAAATGTTGAACTAATTCATTTAAATATAAAATGTTGAATTAATTCATTTAAATATATTATGTATATTTAAATGAATTAATTTCAGAAATGATAATTGTGTGCCGATATGGTTGTCGGACTTTCAATGCAATCAATCTGAAATATTAATAATCCCCTCAAATTTTCCAAATTTAATCTCAAAAAACTGTAATAAACTTACTCTCGGCCGAGGCAATATTTTTCGCAATAAGATTATTACAGTTTTTTAAGATTAAATTGGGGGATTATTAATATTTCAGATTGATTGCATTGAGAAAGTTCGACAACCAATTATCGGCATGCAATTATAATTTCTGAAATTAATTTATTTAAATGAATATACATAATAGTTCAACGTCTTAATATTCAGACCGTAGTGGCGTTGCATATTTAAAATAATGTATCTAACATAAACGGTCTTATTTCCAATCTTATTAATATTTTTATTGTTTCTACAAAAAATCTTTTCCTAATTTTCTCAAACGGCATAATCTTAAAGTATTAAAAAAGTGCCATCTAAATAATACTGAAGTAATGGTCTGTATTATAGACTTTTTTGGGGCTATGCAAAGTTGTTTTCCTAGAATCTTATGTTGTTTAAAGTGTGTAATGTGAATAGTGAATAATTTAACCTCATCAAGCATAAATTTCCGTGCGTATTGAGGTATTCTCCCAGCACCTCCATGAACAATGATAACCGGATTTACTCCCTTTTTCTTCTTTTTCTTGATTCGAGCCTCGGCACCGATTCTGGCCAAGATTTTACTGATCCAGGCGCAATAATCGCACATTATATCAGTAACGTGTGTTTCAGGATTTTCATTGCCTTTTAACATCTTTCTTTGCAAAAATCTAAAGCGTCCGTCGAACGAAAACCAAATACTGGTGAATTTTACTCGAATTGGGATTACGCGAAAGTGTCACATATGTGTCATTCTCGTATAAAAAATTATGACGATGTTATTTTATTTTTTCGATAGTAAAATATACAACGTTAACGTATAATAAGTAAATACGATTGCATTTGAGTACGATAATAAATATGAATTTTCTTATCGCAGGATGGCACAAGCTACTTACAGCTACACGGTCATCAGACATTAAAGGGACGCAGTTACGACCAAATTGTAGAAGAATTTGTGAAACAAGAAATTTGCAATGCTGCTAATGCATGGATTTCTTGTCCAGAGATTCTTTTCCCATACATGATTATAATCTTCGCTCTAAACAGATTATTGAACTGCTGACGATGGATAGATAGATTACGCTCTCTATACAATGCCATATAAATAGGGTAGTTCATTATTGGTGACGTAATATAATTTCGCATAAAAAGATGAATTTTTTTTCAAGCAGTTTTACTTTCGAGAAAATCAAATTTAAAGATTGGATAATTAAGTAATTAGTAACAAGTTAATTAAGTTTGCCGTACATCGAAAGATAATTAAATATCAATTACTATGAAAAATGTAAAAATTCTTATAAAAAATGTAACTTTTCAATTTAACAATTTTAACATATATGCTTTAAATATTTGTCTACGTTATTATGAATAATAATTTACATGAATAATTTTTTAAAGTATTGTGTAGAATATATTGTATTTACATATATTTATATTTCTTTGTATACATTTATATTATGTATATATACATGCATGATATGTATATATATACATAATATAATATATACATATGTGTATACATTACGTATATGTATACATATAGGCCTATATTCAAAATGCGCTTATAACGATGTTAGAGCGCTTATATACTATACTATGGTTGCGTTCAGTAGAGAACGTTTATTTTGCAACTATTGGATGTTTTCTTCGCGCTAATTGGATTATATTTTTAGATCTAGAAAAATGATCCTATCTCAGCAAATAATCATAAAACAGTTGCAAAACTGTTACGTTCTGCTGAACTTAGAAATAAAAACACATTTCTGAATATAGGCTATAATACATACATATACGTATGTACATATTATTTTAATTTATATATGTATCCTCGTTCAACACTTTAATAATTTTTTATTTCTTTAACTAGAATATTTAATTTTTGTTATTTGTGTAACTGTTATTTAAAAATGATTGTGTAAAAAGATAATTTGAAAATTATTCAAGCTTAATGATAGAAATAATTGTTTAATAATAATAACGACTACTTAATAAAAATTGTTTAACAGATCTCGAAAATTATTATTGAAGTAGTTGAACAATTATATCAAACATATTGAAGTAGAATGAATGATGTTGAATAATTACTGCAGTTATTAAACAAACCAGTTCTTTTATGAAAATTTTTTCTACATTTATTTTTAAAATAAAATCATATCATCTCAATTACATTATCAATAATGGATTACCTACATAAAAAAGCTCGATATCAAATCGGCTAGGCTATATATAAAATTCGATGTATATTTCAACTGTATAATCTTATCATTTATCCTTATTTATATATGTTTTATACGATATACTATATAAATGTATGTATAAATATGTTATGAATACTATTTTTTTTCTACATCTATTGGTACTTTTTTCCCTGGACGGAATATTGTGTATTATTACATTGTAGAAAGATACAAATAAGTGCACAAAAAAATCTCGTTTTATATATAATAAGATATATAAAATTATAACAATTCAAATGTACTTGATTGCACATTGGAAAAATTCAATATTATTCAAAGTTATCAAAGACAATTACTATTATCTTGAAAATCTTACAAATTACAATTTCGGAATAACGTAAAATTCTTTATCTCTCGTTAATTGAGAGCACGAATTTCAACTTGTGTGTCTAATAAGGGAACGATTGGAACTGTCCCTCCGATTGTAATGAGCTTTGGATATAGAGCATGAAAAAATACTATACCCATATTTTTTGTTTAAGTTTATCTCGAGGTTTAGGAGATGAACATCCCGTCAAAAATAATGGATTGTATCATTTTTCTTAAATATCTTTTAAACTACGAGGTATACCTAAAACTTAGTTTTAAAAGTTGTATAGTTTTTTATGCTCTGTATAACGGCATAAAAGACAAGTTGCAAAAATCAATTTTACAAATTGTTATAAACATATTAAAAATTGATTTTTGCAACATGTCTTTTATGTAAAATTTTTATATAACTTTTATATAAAATATTTTTGGATATACCTCGTGGTTTAAAAGATATTTAAGAAAAACGATACAATCCATTATTTTTGAAGGATTGTTTCATCTTCTAAACCTCGAGATAAGCACAAACAAAAAAATATGAGTCTAATATTTTTTCATGCTCTACAACATATCCAAAGTTCATAAAAATCAATTGAGGAATTCCAATCATTCCCTTGTAAATATTACTTTCTGTGACTAGCATCTTAATTATCTATTGCAATAATTGCAAGTGCACATATACACTGGAAGTATAAAATCTGTGAATCTTTCTATATCCAATTCTCGAAAATAACAATATAATTCTAAACAAATTATTAATGCCTGTATTCTCACTTTATTAATATATATATTTTCCTCTATGATATTGAAACGTATCGCGAAAATATGTCTAGTTCTTGTAAAAATTCCTCTTTCTTTGAGTAATAGAAATCTTTCTTCAGTTTATGTATTTCTATGTTACCAGATTCCATGCCAATAGCCTAAAAAAATATATATTTAAATTAATTTATAACATAGAAAAATCTCTTTCGAGTTTAAGATGTTAACTTTTTAACTTTTAAACTTACCAGATATTGATTCGTCATATCTTGATCTATTATGCAAGGGGATAGCTGCATGCTGCTTATCTTTCCCCACTTTCCCATAGGTAATATATGTATAGGGCAGATATCACTCTTACTCAAATCCCATACATGAATTCTGTTAAATTTATAAGTTTCGTAATTGCTCCATCTTATTTTATTTGCAATTTTATTCATTTTATGAAAGGTGTACTTACCGAGAACTATTATCCAGAATATATACAGTCAACGGTTTCGTTTTCGACCATTGCAATGCTTTAATCTCGTCCGAATACTGTTCGTTTTTCAATTGTACGATCGGTCTCTCTATATTTAAATAATGAAGTCGAATTGTTCCGTCGTTACAGCCAACCTGATGAAAATCAAATTAAGATAAGAATAAAGCTTTTAAAATAAACGATGAAAGAAGTCTTACCCAGAAAAAGGATTGACCAAAAGGACAAACATCAATGCAAGTTGAAGTACCGCATTTACCTGTAATATTTAATTGAAATAAATTTGATGTTACACACAATACACGTTTGATACATACATCGAAGTAACAATATTATTTTCACTCACTTATCTCAGCTGGTTTGTATGTTAATGGATTAGTTCTATTACCAATATAAGTAGCATGCAAGACATCAGTATTGTTAGTTGCAATATAAATATTGTTTGTGTTTGCACTGTCTACATGCATATCGACAAACATGTTCATTCTAAAAGAAAATCGAGCAGTTAGAGGAATCTCAGACATGTACTGAGCTTTCCAAAAACACGTCTCAAATCTATTTTATTTACATTTCTGAGTCTTTCTTCATCAAAAACATTTTCTGATTCTTTACGAGTCTTATGTTACCCCAGTGAGAAAGCCCTAAATCATCTATATTCATACCCATGTTATGCAAAATACTCCATATTATGAGGCAACCATCTTCATCTAAACTACATATCTATTAAAGCAATTTAAAAATAATCGTGGATTAGTAGAGTTAAATTTTAACAGATCAGTATCAATACTGTAATATAATGACAACCTGAATAGGAATAAACTTGTTGCTCCTTTCTTTAGCATAAGTAGTTTCGATCTTAGACAGTACGCGTATCGCAATAACTTGCGATGTATGTGCATCTAACTCTGCCGTTGTCGTGTAAGTAGGCGTTCTGATCACCCATTCTAACTCGTTAGCTTTATCTGTAATCTTCTGATGCCACATCTCATCCTCCTTAAGGTCCCAAAGACTCAACGATCTATTTCAATATTTTATATTTCAATACTTTATATTTTTAAATTGTTGCAAAAACTATGAAAGAGATTTAAAGAAAACTCCAGTTGCATACCCATCCTCGAGTCCGGCAAATACTGTGTTGCAATTCGTTAAGTGAAAGCAACAAGCCGTAATAGGGCATTGCGAATAGAATAATTTCTTCGGCATCGAAGGTTCGGAAATATTCCAAACGCATCCGATACAACAATCAGTGATGTAATCCTGTTTACTTATAGTTTCTAATTCCTATTCAATACATAACAAATTAATTACGTTTTATTTTGAACTAATTAATAATAATTAAATAGTATAGCAGCCACGTACCTCTTCCACAGGAACGTGAATGGTGAGCAGAACTTTATTTAAAACATTCGAATAATGTATAATCTTAACTGATCTAGTAGCTAAGAATGTTACTGTATCTACAGAGAGCTTCACGAAACCATCACTGAACGCTAAGTCGCCCACATCATTTTGAAAAACGGTGCCACCATGTTCTCTCTCTTCCAACAACGATAATACAACCGCGCCCGCGCGATTAAGAAAATCGTTTAATCGCAATACATCGTACGATGGTCGTGACAAAAAATTTGTATCGTCTATTTCGTCCAAATCGTTTCCGACGCCTATTTGCTCCTGCAAATTTTTAGAACGTTCAGAATTATACTTATATATATATACGATATCTAAAGACACGGTAATGTTTCGGCGCTAAGACATGGCGCGAAACACTGCCGTGCTTTTATAGACAATAATGTTGTAACTATTACCATTTTAAATAAATTTATATCTCGTTTATCATGCAATTCTTTTCTACAAGTTACAGGAAATTGCGTCCACTTGTTCTTACAAGATACTTCATCCGTTTGTATCTCAATGTCCATATTGTCGTCGCCGGTTTGGGTAAACACCTATAGAAAACAGTATACAATATTCAATTGATCACGGTATAATTATCATAAAATGTTATATATATAATAACATACTTGTTGCGTATTTAATTTCCCGTAGTTTCTTATGAATTCATCATAAGGTATAGGATTGCATTCTAATAATGACCATTCCATAAAGTCTAGCTTTATCATTTCCAACAATTCTTCGCCTCTACTTTTTATCTTTCGCGAGTTCTGCAAAAGATAAAGGAATTTAGATATATGTATTTAATATTATGGTATGTTCTTATGTAAATTACCTCTTCACGGTGATTCTCTTTTGATTTACGAAAATCGATAAATGGTACTTGCGACAGCGGCGGAGATCTAGTAAAATCCCCAGAACGGCTATCCTCGAAGCCTTCATCAGTGGACGACGGCAAAGATTTATTTTCCATCGGTCTATCGTCACTGCTCCAAATAAATATGAACACATTAAATTAATCATATATTTTACTTTATTCTTTTTAAAATAAAACACTTTAGAGAAAAGCAAATAAAAATGTAACAATTATAGATAACAAGAAATGTGCAAGTATAATCAAGTATAATAATAAGTTTACAAGTATTCATTTATTCATCTTGATACTTGATCTTAGTTATCACAAACCTAAACGTTTTACCAACTGGCTCTCTTAATTCAGGTAACGGCGATGTATTGGATTGCGTTAAAAGCATAGATTCTACCCGTGCTGCCCGTTTTTTCGCTTCTGCTAGATCGTAATGTCCTGAATCAAGCATATGTTCCTCTTCGACTTTTGTGTGTTCCGTGCTTTTCTACAAAAATCATTTTTATAAAATTATGCATTTCGACATAGAGAATAAATATTTATATAGAATAAGTATTCAGTGAGTGATAATACCTTCTCTCGGAGACGCAATTCGATCGGTTCTAAATGAGAACTGCTTCCACTGCTATCTGATTTTTCACTAATCGAGGGAGTATCGCTGTCAGTACATTCTTGAAAGTCCGATTCATAATCCTGAAAAACAACACAAAGTAATATAATTATCATATATATCTTCATTAAAATTTTTCCTCCTTTTTTTCTTACCTCAAAATCATCTTCATAATCGTAGTCCACCTCATTCAAGTCTGCTTGTATATCAGAATGGCTATCTGTTAAAATATCTTTTTTCTGTTCTTTTTCTACGATATCTGGTCTCCTTATAGCACTGTGTAGCATTCTTATCTCGCTTGGACTTAACGTCCTGGATTTCCTACGTTCTCTGGACAACATTCGTTGCTTAGTTCGATTAGGTGCAGAGTGATCTTGCAATTTTTCTTTATCCTTTGATGCTCGAATTGCAATCTTTTCGTTAGATTTAATATTGAGCTGGTTTGTAGTCGATTTTGGCATATATATCGTACTCTGACCTCTCTTCTCTGAATATCCCACTTGTTCTCTGGATTTCCTCTTTTTAACTGTATTGTCATCGCTTGATTTTGTAACATTTTCAGGTCTTATTTTAGAAGTTGTACTTTTCTTCATTAATGAATGACTAGACGAAGTATTAAGTGGACTAGATTTCGATGTTGAGGATACTTGTTTGACAGTCTTAACTTGAGAAGATCCGGCGGATGACTTGATAGTATTTCTAATCAGTTGTGTCCTTGTCAAGGAATTCTGCAACAATTTGGATCCTCTATCTCCATCTCCTCTGTGCTCAATAGTTTGAGATTTCCTTGGAAAATTAGGATCTGATTTTTTCGATGTATCCGTATTGTTTTCGTTACTGGATGACGTTTTTGGTTTTGACCGGACACGTGTCTTGACTTCATCTTTAGATCCAATTTTTTTAGTTGCTCCCTAAAGAGAAATAAATTGATATTGGAATAAAATAGAATTTTTTATACACATAATAATTAGTTTATATACTGAAGAAGACCGGAAACAAGAGTCGAAACGTATATTAGCTTAATAAAGTTTCAATTATATCATACACTATTTTCTTGTGTTGGCTCATATTGGCATACATATTATTAGATTTACACTTTTAGGATTTTTTCTATTACTATTACTTTTATATAATTTTTTATTTTACAAACATCATATATTTGATAACAATAGTTTAATTATTAAGTTAAAAATAAATACATTTAATATTTTAATATTAAATATAATATTAAATAGTAATAATAAGAGATAACTTTATATTACTTAACACTTTAAAAAATCAGATACTTAAAAATGAACCAATCAAAGTAACATTTAAAAATGAAAAATTTTTTCATTTTTAATTTAAGCATTATTATGTGTGTACGTTACATACTCTTAGAGAGTGAAATAAATTGTACAAGTAATATTAAAATTTCTAGAATCAATTCTTATAAATAAAACACGATTAGATTGAGTCATGTCCATGCCTTCTGTATAATTAATAAAGAATACGCGCACAAAAAATATCTTTTTTATAATAAATTATATGGAATCAATACTCTCTCTTTCTCTATTATGTCTATTATCATAATCTTTACATAGCTTCGCGAAAAATGTCAATAATTTCGAGGTTGACGTAAGTGAAGTAGCTTGACAAATTCACGCGTCAGTTAATACAAACAATAGGGAATGCAATTCGCAGGTGTACATTTCTGTATCTAGAATGTAATACGCGACACGATAATCGAACTAATACGTTAAAACTGTTAAAACACTCACTTTATTGGACATTATACCGCTAATTGATCGGCGTTGACAGTTACAGTCGATCCTAAGGCAACCATGATGTAAACTAATACGACCTATGGTGGAAGGGGTATTATCCCTTCCACTATTATCTCGTGTGCTATCTACTACGTCACGCTCGTGCTCGATTTTGTGATATCTCAGGTTGTAAATTTTCAGCGATCAGTAATGGAATTCTTTTGCAAATTGATTTTGAAATTAATTTTATTGATACCAAACCCGAACAAATCCGAAATGTCGACTTCTTGAAGAATGCATTTGATCAGCAGATATCAAATGAAATTGAGATATTTCTGGAAAATAATATTAGCGATTTCGGCTGGGATACACTTAGTGCACATAAAGTTGTCATGGACAATTGTCGTGAAAATGTATTAATAGATTAAATCGTACAATCCCCAATATATTTTATTGTACTGTCAATAAAACATGTTTTGATAATTTTCATTTCGTTTTTATACTCATAGTGAATTCGGCTGGAATATACCGACCATACATTTCAAGTATCGGTACAACTGATGTGTTCGGTTGGTTGAATGGTGCGGTTCCTCGCCAGTGTCACATATTCGTTTGTACTTGATATATCTCACAAGTGGTACACAAAATGACAAATGAGACGCAGTAACCAATGAACACATTAGGAGCTGTAAGCTTATTGGCTACTGCATCACATTTTGCCGCGCGGCAAACGTTTCTGAGTCCAATGTGTAGGAGCCAAAAGGGTACTTTCCAACAAGGACACAGTCAAGGATTCAGCAAGGACACAGTCAAGGATTCATTGTAGAATCAGTAATCAGTTTACAGCGAGTTTAAGATTAGGAACATAAATCCCTAATATCGAATTCATATTAAATATTAAACATTTATTAATTTAATATTTACGTTTTTATTATGTATTTATATATTTACTTATACTACTCGAAAACGAAGCCATCGCAATAAAATTTGTATAAATTATCACAATACACATTATTCTTCTTCTTCGTTAATGGTTGGCCTTGGTTCTTGTGATCGGGATAAACGTGACCAATTGTATCCCAAAAAAAAAAGTGAAAATCGATCACCTCAAACCGGATAGATTTCTCGAAAATGTTGCAAACAGTCGAAAATGGCGAATGGAGGTTTTGGAAACTTCTTAATTTTTTTAATACTAGAATCACCTGACATAGCATATTCACATTTAAATAATATAAGATTATAATATACTATCTTTCTTTAATTCTTCTTATTTTAAGAAATTTTATATATTCAGATACTGGGGCGGGATATAATCCCTCATTTACATCTAATACTTTCTACAGGGGCCCCTCAATTGACTTGACTATTTTTCGGTCAAACCAATGCATCATTTTAAAACTACTCTTCAAACACTGGGCGTCTGCGACCATGATACGCGACCAGTATTATAGATCGGTAATGAGGTTCGCATTTCGTGAATTTCGAAATTTGCCTGACAAAATATACACTACCGCGATGGTAAGAATGCACCAGTGCATTCGTTGTTCTCAACCGAAATCGCTATAAGTTACTTTTGATGGTATAAAATGATACTAACAAAAGGTAAATCATAAAAAACTTAAAAAGAAAATTAATCTCTTTCATTATTATACATATTATTTAATTATTAATTAATATATAAAATTGTTTCTACGATAAATTACGGTAAAGCAAGTATGAGAAGCACGTTTTGCTGAGTTTTAAATTGTTGCAAACATCTTTTTTAGAAACTTTATTTCTGAGAACGCTGACATATAGTAATCTATTAGACCATTTTTTAGCTCTACCATTTTGTGCTTTCAGTTGACAATAAGAGTGATTTCTGTTCTACCAACCGCAGTTATTTTTTCTAGTTACCGTGTGCGATTGAAAATTTCTCTTTTACCGACCATGATGAAATATAAAATATAAACAAACGAAGAAAGAATAATATTCTTTTGATTATAGACCTAGTTTACATCGTGTACATGATATAGTACTAACTAGTAACTTTCTATTAAGGGAATCCTAAAGTCTTCTGTTTTACCGATTAAATCATGTAATTTTTGTATAATAAATACTTTTTTCCTCTTTCATTCGAAAATTCTTTTCCAGGATTAAAGTATATGCATTAATACATGTCTGGGAAATAAAGTAATGCCGAGAATGATAAAAAATTTCAAAATTATTTTTTATCATTTCTTAATTTATAACATGGCGTCTCAGCTATCAAGTCGTGACAATATTTGCTTGATATGAAACCTTTTCGTATGAAATAGTAATTCCCAGACACGTAGTGTGAATTTACACGAACAATGTCGAGTTCTTAGAATTAAACTTAGATGCTTTATCGCGACGAATTTGTTATATGAAAATTAACGCGAATGTGCGACTGCGTATATCATAGGTTGCATGAAATATTGATGTGGTAGTATATAAATGTCGATGCACGACATTTATACACACACACACACACACACACACACACACACACACACACACACACACACACACACACCAACGTTACTTTGATTTTAAGTGAGGTTAAAACTTTGAAACTCTCTCTGTCTATCTCTTTTTTAAGCTTTAAAATGAGACAGAGAGAGTTTTAAATATCACTTAAAGTTAAAGTAACGTCGATGCAACCAGGCCTTATCTATATAATAACTAAAGGATGACTTCTTTGAATATCTTTTAGTCGTCTTTAATACTTCTTTTAGTTTTTATATTTTGATTGTTCATTAGAACACGAGTAAAATTTCTCGCAATGCTCATTTTTTATTCTATCCTATATGATTTTCAAACACGAGAAACTGAACACCATCACGTCCATCTCGTGGCGATCTCGCGTACTGCTCGCGAATGAATGATAAAAAGTACCAAAACAGAAAGATATATTTTTCATGTTATCTTTTCGACAATACGAAAATATATCTTTTAGTCGACCTATTGCTTTGCGAAAATGATAACTATAGAAAAATGACCATAGAAAAGATGTTAATGATGACTATAGATAAAGATGCTTTTTTAAGTTGTTAATTAATTTTTTTTAAGTTGTCTTCTTGACAAAACTAAAATATGTCTCATCTTTTGGTCTTGCTGAAAAGCCAATCTAAAAACAATGTCTTTTCGTCATCTTTTAGACACCTTTTCGCTTTGTCGGAAAGACAATTTAAAAAAGATCTCTTTTCATTATCTTTTAATATTTTGTACTGTCTGGAATGTATATGTTTCAACGTATCGCTGAAATTAAAATCATTCAATAGAAAGTTACTAGTATCCGTATCAAGTGCACGATGTAAACTAAGCCATAATAATTCTCTATCTACACTTTCATTTTTTTTCTCTTTTCTCGCCATGTCCTCACATATTTATATAAATAGAAAGTGAATGCAGAACAGAGATAAAACAAAATACTATTTCACGACTGAATGACTGTTTCATGCAACTATAAAATTTTGGTCTTCCTTCTGCAGTTTTTATATACAAACTGATTTCTAATTTATGACACTGTCGCGTATTAATTTTAAACTGTGCCATGGCCAAAGATCGGGAACTTTTTCATCCAAAAAGCATACGCCGACATCGCATTACGTTTAACCGTGCATACAGGTCAGCCATACGTTAATCAGTTGTTGACACGAAAATATTAGATTGATCAAAAAGTTTATTCGTTTCTTTCCTACGAGACTTATACTAAGACTAGATAACTGATCGTGCAACAATTATGCTACAGCATTAATTAAGCAGCTGTGAAATAAAATGATGTACAGAGTTGTAAAACAAAAATTAACTTAATTTATTGTAATTTGCATTATTCTCTTAATTAGGTCACCCGTCTCGAAGCGACATTATGAAAAGGAATATTTCCCCCGACAAGACATCGAAAAAGCGACAGTATTCGATTTGGTGTACAAATATCTGGACAAATGCGCCAACCAGAACATAAACGGGAGACAGCAAAACTGTGCGTGTAACAAATTCAATAAGCGACACGCGAGAAAGAAAGACATTCATAGATATGACTTGGCGACAATTCATACAAATCTCGACGAAGAAATTGCTGGTGACGATGGCGAGCGATCTCGAGCACGCACAAATAAAAATATCCTTAAAAGAGCATCTATAAGCTCGTCGAAAGAATGTATCGCCGATTATACAAAAGCTGTTCGCGATGGTACATAAAAATCCCGGTAAAAATAAAAATTGCAGCGTAAGTCGAATGTAATGGGAGAGTAACAAAAGCGTAAACGAAACTTCTAAGAGGCAAAAATTGAAACATCAAAAGAAGCGTAAATGTTTCATTGTTCCAATTTTCGCCTTCTAGAAGTTTCGTTTACTCTCTTCAGTTACTCTCCCATTATATCCGATTTACGCTCCGATTTTGATTTTCATCAGAGAATTCATTTTAATTTTCAGCAATTGAATCTAGCTTGGTATTAAAAAAAAAACATAAATTTGTAGAATTATTACAAACAGAATATAGTCATTAAAATGACGTTAAATTACACCAAAATGGTTACTAAAAGTCACTTTTCAATCAGTAATAATTAATTTTAACGTTATTTTGATATTATCGTAACTTGTTCTGCTTATGAAATAAAATTTGTCAGAATTTTCGAGAAGAAGAAAAGAAGAGATAAGTATAGAAACAAATAAAACATAAATTAATCGTTATCGTTTGATTCCTTTCTTTAGAACGAAGACGTGCAAGATTGTATATACGAGAAGCACTTATATATGGTTTACAATCCGGATTGTTAATCCCAATCGATTTACGGAAGAACATGCTGCGCGTTTCACGAAAGATAGGAGTTCTATTAAAAAATGCGAAAAAAGACAATGAAGATCCATCGAATATTGCGACTAGCGGTACTGAGTATTCTGTGTAAAATTGACAGATCGTAATAAATTCAATTATCAAAAGACATGATTCGTGATATTTACAATGCTATTTCTATACTTTAAATTATTTATTAAATATAAATAAATAAAAATGAAAAAATGTAAATAATAAAACCAGTAATAGAAAAGAGATTATATTTTTATATTTCTGTTAATTTTAATTTAAAACTTAACAGGCACGGATATGTATATATTTTCCTTATAAATGCAACAAACTTTGTGTTAAACAGAAAAAATTTTTATATTGAACAAAAAAATTTACACAAGACTTTTTATTTCAAAATCTAATATGTTAAAAATTGTTTAGAAGAACAGAATCTTACAAGTAGAATCGCAAATATATATTAATTTTATTTTCCTGCAGTAACTAATGAAAGTAATTATCAAGATAAAGAAGTAATAATCACATTCATTTTCTCGAGCTTAAAAATGTATTTATACAATCCTAAATTTTCAACTCGCGTTATCGCCCTCCCCGTCGTTCACATTCTTCACGACATCGTCGGATCCACTTTCTCAGTTCTTGCTCGCGTGCCGCGGTTCTTCTGTGAGGAACTCGTACCCTCAATTCATCGTATATACTATCCTCTGTATCTTCGTCCTCTTCGCCATCTTTTATTCCTTCTTCTATATCTTCTTCGGCGTCATTGCGACGACGTCTGTTCCTGATAACGCGAGGACGATCAGGAGATCGGATCCTTGAAAGTTTATCTCGAGTGACAACTTCGGCATTACAAGCGCAATCCATATCCTCCTTTTTCATCGTAGTCTCATCTTTCTCATCTGCGTGTTCCACTCTTTGATCTTCCACTCGCGCTTTTTTCACATTTCTAGCTGGATCTGACGAAGAAATCCGTAAGATTTTTTTAAAAGGTCCGGGAATCGGTTCCGCATAATTGTCACGTTGCTCCATCTTGATATTACGTTGTCGATAATCTTGGATATCCGAAACATCGGCATCAAACTCTATGATGCGATCTTTGCAATCCAAGGAACAGCCATTCCGCTTTATTGGTCTAACAACGGGGCCGGCCAAGTGATACTCGTTGTTCAATAATTCCATGACAAATCTATTACGATGTTGTGATTGTTATTGATTTACAGTAAACAGTGAAAAATATTTTAAAGAAATTGAGTGGTAAGAAAAAATACCTGTATCATCAATTTATTAACAAGCTATTATTTCTAAAACTAAGAAAGCATACTATTTATTAGAACATCAAGGAAAAAAAGAAGAAAAAATATCAAATCTATTTAGAGCTGTCTTTATTTTATTATTTAATATTTATTTATGTATAATGTGTTGAAAACGTAATTCTTTAGCATTTTGGCCACAGTTTTACGGGTCAAGTGAATATCTGTCATCTTCTATTGCAGTTTTACAATCGTATCTTTCAAACGTTAGAATTGTGTATATTATATAATACAGCACCATATGAGTCTGCTCTACATAATTAGCACCGAAATATCGGTCGATAGATGAACAGCCTGGTAACAAGATAAGTCGCGCAATAACAGTGGAAAATATTGCCTTGAAAAAAACATGATTGTGTCTTTCCATAATCGAGAGAAAGACAAAAATATCGTTTGTTAAACTGTATAACATACATATTTTAGAAACAGTCCCTAGTGAAAATTTTTCTCATAATTTTTATACAAATTGAAACATTTTTCAGAAATACTCAGAAATATTCGGAAAGTTTATATCTTCTCTCAGAACTTCTCATAGTGAATTCTGAAATATTCTGAAATTTCTCATCCCATAATTTGTAAAAATATTTTTAAATTTTTTAGATTTATAACATTTCATAAGAAATTATACTTACAAAAATCTTAAAAATCTTGCGATGTTTCATAATTAATGTATATGAAAAATTCTGAGAAAAAAATGTAGATTTTTTGAGAAGTGTATTCTAATTCGCATAAAAAATGTGAGAAAGTTATGAAATTACAGAGAAATTCTGAAAAATTATATAAAAAATTCTGAGAAAAATTTTCTCCAAAGATATGTTATAAAGTATAACATAACACAATATATACGTATATGTACATGTTATTCCCTAATAGAAATCCAATTTAATACTGAAAAATAGTAATATTAATTACTTAGTTTAAGTATTAACAATATTGTCGTTATAATAAGTAATAATTAATTATTACCCTTCACACCAAAGGATTAAATTTATCTATATAGGTATAGTTTAATGCAATGTAAAATAATAAATATAGAAAATGTGCACACGTAATTTCATATGAGGTATACATTTCACCCGATCCATTTGACCTTCGACGAAGCGACGCCGGGAACTAACCCTTGAGAACAGACCTGTCTCAGCGCGGTCCGCACCTGAGCATAAAGGTCGCCATTGTAGCGATAATGCGACCGGATGTAGTCGGTGATCTCCTCGGCGCTGGACGTGGACGGCTGGTCCACGTCGCGCTGCAGCAAACGCATTGCTTCCATCACGCGCAACGAGAACCTCAACGAAGTCTCCACGCCGCATTTGCACTGCCGGGGTATTTGTGACGAAAGAAATTTTCTGTCTCTTGAGTCTTCAGCCTCCTTTGTTGTAATCGAATATAATAGACAGTCACGATTAATGTGATTCAATTTAACGTCAAAATTGTAACGACATACATTAAGCTATTTCATGGAATATCTATAATAACCTATATTTGACAGTATAATATTTTACTGATATACAAAAAATATAGATTTGACTTGTGATATAATTTTTTTATATAACGTGAGATCTCGTTGGCTAATACTTAAAAAACGAGCGATTAAACTAATAACTTGTATTATTAGACGAATAAAAGATACTCTTTGCGCGTAACTTACTTTCTTAGGCGTATCATCTAATTTCTTGCAACTTCCTGGACAAGTTTCATCTCGTATCGCACCGAAATCATTTTCCTGATCTTCATTAAGAATTTCATCAACTATCGCATTGACTTTTTTTTCTATTTGTCTAGCATTCATCTTATTGTCAATTTAATCTATTCGAAAGGTTAGTGGAAAATATCATTAAGACATGTATGTATGTGTCTAAAACTGAGCATTCTGAAGTTTCAGAAGAGAAAACTCTTTCAAGAATCGCATAGACAAGTTTTTAATTTATTGATTATAATCAGTCACATTATGTGCAAATACAACTTTTTACTGCGTAAAAGCTACATTTATGTATAATGCGATTGATGAATCAATGAATTAAAAAACTCGCCTTATCTCATAACGTGAAAACACATCATTCTTAATATATTAAATATTATAACGCTATTAAATATTATACGATAATATTAATGTATAATATAAGTGTGCGTTTTTTTTCAGATGTCTATACTACTTCAGCTCGAGCGTTAAACTGAAGATCCATAGTGAAGACTGTGGAAAATTGAACGTATGATCAGACTATCGAACGAGGATGACAAGTAGAGTTTCGGCAACCATTGCAGGAAGGATTCGTTTGATTCGTTGTCTATACCGATTTAAAGTGGAAAAGATGGATAGGAACTCTGAATCAACTACGTACACGTATCAACATTATAACATGTTTAGCATCGAGTATTACGTACATTGTTCCTACGACGATACATTATCATTGTTTTCGCCGCGATAAAGGCTGCATCGCATGGTTCGCGGAAGAACTTGGACAATTAGCACATAGTGTAATCCATAATTTCGGCTAACGTGGCAGATTTTACGCGAGATAACTGGGAAAAATTCAACAACGCTACGACAACGTATGCGAGAAATCGTTCGATCCAGAAACCCTGCACATTCAAACTGCAATATAAAGGGTGTTTTTTTAAGCCCGATAGATTTTTTTAAGCCCGATAGAACTTAAAATTGTAAAAACTAACACAAAAATTAAATTATAATAAAAAAATTTTTTTTAGTCGAAAGATCAATGCATGGCATTAACATTTGAAAATGATTTCGGGCATATGGCCACCGCGGCTGTTTAATTTAATTTTTTGTTTTATTTTTTACAATTTCAAGTTCTATCGGGCTTAAAAAAACATCCTTTAAATTAGAAGGATTCGCGTTGCATATCTATGTTTCACAATTTATCTAGCTACATCTCCGGATAATATTGAACACAGTCTTCGTAATGTGATCTTGCGGCTAACTATTCTTCTTTTATCACTATTTTATATACTGAAGAGGACCCGAAGCGAGAGTCGGAACGTTTACCACTTTTGATTAATAAAGATTCGATTGTATCACATACCGATATCCTGTGTTGGCCCACATTTATACATCACATTTATACATCATTAAATTTAATCCTTGGGCCTTCGTTATTACTTCTGTTTAATATAATATTGTATAATACAACATCATTTATTATAAATATTTAATATAAATTATACATTTAATAATTTGATACTTGCTTTGTAAAACGCACAAAAAATTGAAAATTCCAATTTTGAAAGCGATCTTTATGCTCAGATTTTTCTCTGTGATGTTAATTTTGAAAGATTTTGATAAAGCTAGGAGTTTAATAAAGCTTCCTCGCTAGGACTCGCGGTCCCTGTATCGATTCGCAATCGAAATAACGCCACGAGAAGGTGCTACGGTCAAGGGGCGTAAATAGGGTGTATAGAGAAAAAAGTAGGAGGAGCAGCCGACCTGGCGTAGGAGTACCAGGAGTGCATACGTGAAATATTAATAAGCGGGCAGTCGGTGAACGTGACTGCGCTGTACGCGGAAGTGCTTTTGCACGTTATCAGTATATTCCTCTGCTTTCTCGATTAGATGCTATAGGTACTCATGCTGTGTACAAATTACAAATCGCCATTCCGCGGACATGAATGCAATAGACACTTATATACACGATAGATTCGATAATTATAAAATTATATACGCTATCACGCTATTTTTACTTTAATAACATCGCAATTTCTTCTCCCTCCCCCCCCCCTCATGCTTTGGGATTTTATGAAAAGATTCCATTCATGCCCCCATCAATCCGTGTGTGATGTTGAAAATATCTGAAAAAAATTTCTTTATCCTGAAATTTTAAAATAAGATATATTCTCGTATTTTATCATGAATTAATATACTATTACAAACATACATTGTAGTATTATTTTTTATCGTTTTTTAATCTCACAGAGATTGCAGTAATTGTTACGAAATAAATTAGAGATTGGGAAGAAAATAATTGAGAGGAAAATAATTTTTCAGCTTCCGATTTGTCTAAATATGACCATTATTAAAACCCATTACACACGCAGTTAATAATACTTAATTGTATTGTTAAAAAAAAAGTTTACAAATTGTACCCTTCAATCTTCCTTGCAATAACAGCCATTATTATAGCTCGGGAAACAACTCGCGATAAAAATAAGATTACGCGGGCGAAGCGCAGGTGAATCGAGAGAAGAGGTGAGACTCGCGCGGTGCGAATCGGACTTGGCAGGCACCACGCTCCACTTTTTCCTCGACGGAGGGACGACGAGGCGCTGGTGTGAGCGATTCCGCTTGTTGTTTCGCGCCATTTCCGATAAGAACGTAGCCGGGCCGGCCAAGAATTACCTGGACGAGTGCGCGGAAGGATAAGAATAACGGTGCTGACGGGGTAAGCCGCAATTTGCCAACGGCCTGGGAACTGAAGGGCTGTGGATGGCTTGCCGTGCTCCAACGGGGGCAAATAGTCTAAATGAAAAAGACCCCTGGTGCCCCTCTTGTAGGTACAACCTGCGTTACTTGAAGCACGTCGTGCTTTCGATAAAAAAAAAATAAGAACTGGCTGGATCTCTTTTTTATTCGCCAATTACCTCTTCTCAGCGACGATTTATCAATCCGCACTTAATTACAATGTAGATGCTCTTATCTGAATAATGATCCTTTCTCGATAATTTAAACTTCGAACTCTAAGGCTTGCAGTATTAATAGTTGGCTCTTACATTTAAGACTTAGAGTCCTAAGTACAATCCTAAGATGTTGTCAGCCAATCACAGAGCTGTATTAGCACTTTACATTATTACTTAAGACTATCTTAAAATAAGAATCGATCGTAAATATTGGCCTATAAGCCGTTTCTTTCTTCGATGGCAGGTAACACGTTGAACGCGGGCATTGAAGTCTACTTGCGAATCTTTGTATTAACTTAATGCCGCTATATTCTGATTGGACATGTGCAATTAATAAAGGAACAATATGAAAAGAAAACGAAAAAGACTTATATATATATATATATATAAAATATACATAGATAAATGAATAATCTTTTCGCGATCAATTAAACTACGTCTGTCCAATAACTTTTCGAAAATTAAACGCCGAATTATAATTAAACAAATCGTACCGTACCGTAGATACTTTGATGAATTTTTCCGCCGAAACACCGCTAATTAGTTAAGTCCTGATAACGATTCTGCGGTTCTGAGTGGGCGCGGAACGAGCGCGAGATTATAAATACCCGGCGGAGCCGCAAAAGTAAGAAAAGTTTAATCAGGACTTGGAGGAAGAGAGGGAGGGCCAAAGAGGGAAAGAAGAAGGGAAAGGAAGGGAAGGGAAGGGAAGGGAAGCGTCCTCGTGACGACTTGATGAGATAACTTTGCCCAAGTTGTGAAACAACGGGCGTCACGATACGTGACTTCGTGCGAGGGTGAAAGGAGAATCCGTGCTCCCTATATCGCGTATTAGGGTGAGGGGGTGAAGGCGGAATGAGACTAAGGGGCCAGACACGCGACCACCTTGGATACCGCCCTGTCCTGTTCCTGAGGTGTACGACGACGATCACGTATACGAGGTATACGGCACGTTTACGATGCGTGAGAGATGACTTCCTTCCGTTTCGTGCGAGGAAACGGAGCGCATTTTTGCGTGCGAAAATGCCTGTAAACTCTTCAGCGTTGCAGGTACGGGGTGCTAACAACAGTCCACGTGACATTTCGTGTAAATAAGTTTCGGCAATATTATCGCGAGCATTTAACACGAAATGTATCGATGTAAGAGCATTAAAATAAATAGGACTGCTCTTGCACACACACACACACACACACACACACACATATATAATTCTTCAAGATACAATATTATGTCCCGAGGAGAAGAGTGCACTCACTTGAATGCAAACAATCTATGCGAAATACAAAAAATCATCTGACTCACAAGTCCTTAATGTACGTACAAAGGACATTTGCACGTACGTCGTGAGCCGTCCGAGGGACGTCGATTAGACCGATTACCGTCGGGGTCGTCGGGGGTGGGTTCGGGGATGCGTTCGCCAGTTCGCCGGCTCATCACGTGACGTGATGTCACGTTACCTGGTGGTCGCCGACAGGTGTTCAGGTTCGCACGAGGTTCGTCCGATCGCGAGCAAGGACTAGGCGCGGAAATACGGCCCGTTATCGGTACAAATTCAGCTACATAATGGTAATGATCAGTACATCCGAGCAGCGGACAACAAGAAGCGCGCTCGTAATAATAATGTTCTCGAGATCGATCTCTTCACGGAAGGAATGTTTCATAAAAACAGTCTTTCTCCAAATAAAAAAGATGGGAACGCCTTTCCGTGACGTCTACAATGATACTCGATTAGACGTCTGAAGACAGAAAAACGCGGAAAGATCTTGGGATGTCTCTTTGAAGGGATATAAATGCAGATTCCAAAATATAAATAAAAGGGATAAATCGCGTCTCGTAAAGTACAAAAGATTTTATATATATATATATATATACGGAACGGACGGAAGCGACGTACGTTAGTTGAACGCGCGTTTAATTTCTCTCGCAGCGCACGCTGAACTCGCTTGAGAGGGACATACGATTGTTTCGAAGGCGCCTGTAATTGCGGCGCCGTGGGATCACGACCACGTGGCACCGGTCCTTCGCCCTTCGCCTCGCCCTTTCCTTCCCCGCGTCCACCTGCGGCTCGTCGTTCCCTTCCGCAGTAAATTAGATATTACGATACTAAATGACGTTATTTAACCCGCGACCGTGCGTGCCCTACCACCGGGAGTTGAATTGTGCGGGTCTATGACATTGTTGCGCGAGCAACGCGCAGGTGTACGTACATACAACAAAGTCGCTCGCGATCATCGCGATCTTCACGATTGCATTTAGATCTTCATGATTCCCATTTAAACACACGATCGCCCATGATTCGACACTGATGAAAAAGATAGAAAAATTCAACCGACACGTGACACTTTAAAGCTTAATCTGTATGATACTCTTTACTATTTTTTTTTATTTTCACTCTTGTCTTTTTCTCTCCTTTTTGACCATTTCGTTTTGCAATCATTCCGATTTCTTGTCTCTTCTGAAGGTCTTTCTGAACTTTAATCTTTGATAATAAAAAAAATAGAGGAGCAGGATAAGAGACAGAAAAACAAGAATAGAAAGCAAGAAACACACAGGAAGCAAAGAGTACATTGTAGATTAAGTTCAAAACACGTTTGAAAAGAAACTGAGGGGGGGGGGGGGGAAGCATTTTTATAATTATTCTTTGCGACTCTCTTAGACTCTTCTCAATGTTATCCAGATAAACGCTATCGGACAGTATAACGCACGTGGTAAACGATCGCGAAGGTTAAAAGGACACGGAATACGATCGCGAGGCAAAGGTAATCGATCTCTTGACCGTTAATCGCGGGCTAGAGGATAATTACAGGACGGGCGAGTTGCAACATTAATGAGAACGAGGATAAGAGAGGGACGGGGGAGGGGAGCGATCTAGTACAGCACGCGCCGCCAACTAATTTACTTCATAATAATTACCAGCGGTGCATTAAACATTCGTACGTAGATAATGTGAAAGTGTCAGGTGTTGACTGTCCCAGAGGCAACATTAGAAGGCAAACGTAGCGTACGTTAGCTACGTGGTGGATCTATTGCGAGACCGCGTTGAGGCGCGCGTGTATAACATGCTTCTCCGCCTCGCATGTGTAAGACTCGCACCTGCATCGCCGCCCGAGGTCTCCCAGAAGGACGGCACCTAGGGAAGAAGATCGTATAATTTCTCTGAAAATAGAGCAGCCGAAGAATCGCGTTAACTCGCCCGCCCCCGCGTGCGAAAGTTTCCTGAATTTCCGTACCGATTCGATCAAACTTGCCACGAGATTCGACCTCGCGCGATCTCTCGTGATTTTTCCTCATATTTTTGAAAGTCCGCGTTACTTCTGAACGATTCGGAGAAAGAAGATACTTTTCTATCACTTGCAGTATTTTGTTTCTTTCGTACTATACTCCTGATTCTCTAAATTTTAAGCTTATCGTTAATCAACGAGTGCAGTGTTTTTTAAAATAGTCTTTTTAGCACTTTTTTTTTTATTTCTTTTCTGTCTCTATTTCCTATTTTTATCTTATCATTACCATTCGCTTTATATTCCCTCTTTTTAAAAGATTTACTTTACGACAAACTGATTTCTTCCTTACTTCCCTGATGAAAATTTTTCTCATAATTTTTATACAAATTGGAACATTTTTCAGAAATATTCAAAAATATTTAGAAAATTTACATTTTCTCTCAGAACTTCTCATACAAGTGAATTCTGAAATATTCTGACATTTTTCATAATTTTTAAAAAGTATTTTTTAATTTTTTAGATTTTGTAACATTTCATCAGAAATTATATTTACGAAAAATCTTAAAAATCTTACGATATTTCGTAATTAACATATATGAACAATTCTGAAAAAAGATGTAGATTTTCTGAGAAATGTTCCAATTTGTATAAAAAATGTGAGAAAGTTAGAAAATTATAGGGAAATTCTAAAAAATTATATGAAAAGTTCTGAGAAAAATTTTCACCAGGGAGGGGGGCTTATCTTTCTTTTATATTAAATATGCGAACGATACAAAATATGAGTACGATGAAAAATAAATGATGAATGATTTTAAAAATTATGCATGTCATATAAGAATTACAGATCGAGGCCGTGTAAGATATGTATATGTGATAAGCAACGGCGATCAGTCATCGCGAGGCCGCGACGTATTGTCGAGCGATGAACCACGCGAATCGCAGATAATACAGGCATAATGATTGGAAGATCAGAATCTCTCCGGTTACCTGAAATTGCGGTACTGGTCGTTATTCTTTCGCGACAATGAATACTTTATATTGCGCTATAGCCTATATTATTCCTTCATTATGGGCTAAATGGTGTAATCTGTAAAATCAGTTTTGAATATACAATAGTTTTACATTAAAAATAAATTCTACAGTAAAATAATTTCTGAACCTGATTATTCGATATCTGAAAAAAGAGAGAACACTTTTTCTTCCTTCGCTTATTTAACACACGAAAAGAATTTGCTAAAGTATGTTTAAAAATTTAGCTAAATACAAATCTGAAAATAATGGATGAGTTTTTGTTGGCTCAATTTTGTTGGACCATAAAAATAATTATGTAGAACATTTAATCGTTGATAACAATAAATGCTACAAAAAATGTTAACATTCTAGCAACCAGTTTGTGTACCCATATAATTACTTTTGATGATTCAATAAAATGATTTTTAGATCCGTAGTATAATCTAGGTAAATTTTTAAATACTTTTCGAAACCGTTCTTTCCATGTACACGAGTTAATTTGTAACATAATTGTGACTTATGTGTATATAAAATTATGTATAAAATAAATATTATTTAAAATTCGATTCGAATAAATTATATTTAAAACACAAAACCTTGCAAATTACAGTTACACATTAACTCTATCAACTCTCGACACTTCATAATGTCTCTGAAGATAACGTGTGATTTACAAAGCACAATAAATAATAATGCATTAATATCCATTAGTATCGAAGAGCACAAGAACGTATAGATCTCGAGGGTTATCTACGTGCGTCCTTTCGCATATCGTGACCTATTATGTGCCGCGGATTGCAGATTGGCCTCGCGATAAGAAAGAGGTACAGTGATAAGAAAGAGGTACGGTGAGAAGAAAGAGGGGTGAGTATACCGCGATTGGTTAGAGGATTCCGCGCCCGCGTTTTACCTTGTCCAACGACCGACGATCATATCAACGGCGGCAACGAATCAACCGACGGCATAATAACGCGCATGCACTTGGAGGCGGGGTGTTCGATCACCTTCAACGAATTGAGTGGCCCCCGGTGCTTCGTGACCGCGATGTTGCAATACATGATGTGACGTGGCGCGTTATCGCACTTGATGTAGCCGAGTATCCAATAGCCAGGGCGAAACTGTTAATCCGACTGTCGCAGGTAGTTCGTTACGGGAGATCGAGGCTTTCTCTCGTGAGAAAGCTCGAATCTTTGCGGAATCGTTATCTTTGAACTTTGAATGATTTCGATTAATTCTTAGTATGATCGAGTTTTGCTCGAGACATGACGAGTGATTCATAAACATTGGGAAGATATAAAGAAAATGCCGATTTTCAAATCCTTTGATGACAAGATTATTCAACATCTTTATCATCGTGTGAAATGCGTGAATAGTGAAAAAAAAAATCAGATTATAATATCAAAGAAAATTCTGCATCAACGAAGAGTTTAATATATTATGTAAAACATTGGATTTAAATTTTTCTATTTTGACATTATTTAACATCTTCATATATTTTGTAACTTTGTTTGCATAAAAAGCGCGCGTAAGAGAAGTGAAATATGTCATAAAACACAACAAGAAAATAAGTACATGTTTTCAAGAAGAGATTTTTGCACCGTAATCAAGCATGGTTCATTGAACGGAACGTTTCGCTTCCAAGAAAGATGTAATTGTCGGCAACTGCGGAACAAGTTATGTTTAAAGGGACTCTTAAAGTTTGGCTGATTTTTTTAAAGACCGTTCACTTATGTACCAACTTAGATCGTAACGCTTGTATTTCTCTCGACAATTAAGAGTAAATTATTGGACAATCGGAGAGATGCGTAAAATCCACCTCGCGCATTGAGAGATACTTTTCGAGAAATGAGTTCGCACTCTCATGCGAGGACATTGTGCACCGGAAACGCAATCTCTGGCGCATTCTCGGCGCTCCATCTCCTGCGGAGTTACAGCCTATTTGCTCCGAACTCAGGTGCGTAAATCCTAAAGTTATAACGTAAGAAGACCAGGTGAATACCAATTTCAAAAAGTGCGCAGTCATTCAAAGTAATAATGATATTTGTGACCAATCAGGAATTGGTCTCGAATTTTATAAGCCAAATTTTATTGTCTCAAATTTTACAAGCCAATATAAAACTATTAAAAATTAGACACTAATCAGAAACTTGTCCTAAATCATATTCAATTGTTATCAAGCGCAATATTACACCTGGTGTTCTCATATCATACGAAGTTTATCATATGAAGTTTCCTTAATTATAATTAGAGAAAAGATAGATGGAGAAATATGTTTTGAAAACTTACATGGCTGCGTTCAGCAGAATATTTGTTTTGCAACTGTTGAAAATTTTCTTTGCTGAGATAGAACTATTTTTCTATAGAGAAATAGTTCTATCTCAGTAAAATAAACATTCTGCTGAACGCGGCCAATCTTCATCGCGGATTTTTCAGTTGTTCTAGAACACTCTGAAATTAAACATTTCTTTTATATTCTTTTATCTTTGAAAAAGTGTTTGGGATGTAACGTACGATGTTATTTTTTATTTGCCAAAGATAATACTTATAAACTGAATTCATTATTACTTTATCTTTGATATTTCGAAAATTTCCCGCGTAAATACACCGGCAGAAAAATGTACTAAATTTTAATAAATATCTATTTAACAATGCCAATTAAATATTTATTAAATGTAAACACATATTTATTTAGTACGGGATCATTAATTTAATTTAACTATTATTATTTTTTATTTAGCAAATATTAATTTATTCCCAGCAAACGAGAATGGATTGAAATGAATTGAAATAGATTCAGATTTGTAGAAATATTGATTCACGAATATTAAAATGAATGCTTTTCAATCCTGAATGCATTTTTATTCATTTATAGGAATTGCATGGAACATATCTCTCTGCCTTTCAATCTAAAAATAATATTAGCTTTTTCTGCACAACAAAACAATTGTGAATACTGTTCAATTCAAAATGTTGAATAGAAAATGCAGTTTTTCAATCCAATTGCATCCAATTGAATCTAATTGAATCCAATTGAATCCAATTAAATCCAAAAAAAGTATTTGCTATTTAAAATACGCATTCGGATAGAAAAAAAAATTTCAATCCATTTTAATACATTTTAATCTTATTTACTAGGTTTGTGCTTCATATTTTTGCGTCAAAATGTTATATTAAATAAATATAGAGATAAATTTAAATATGTCATTTAAATATCATTAAATATATCTTTTATTTATCACTTGCTGGCTTTCGTTATGCACAAGTAAGCAAGTTGACCGATATCTGAATTGATCTGTGATACTTCCCAAGCTTCTCTTAATTCCTCCAGTAGCCGTGATCGTCTAGTGGTTAGGACCCTACGTTGTGGCCGTAGTAACCCAGGTTCGAATCCTGGTCACGGCAATGTGAAAACATTGTCACGGTGGAGGTTTCTTTTTTTTACACAAATTTTATTTCTTATATTTTTTTATTAATATCCATATCTATTAAAACAGTTATGTTAATAAATAGCTTATTATTATATTAAACTTAACAATTTCTCGGAATAATAAATTCAACATCAATACTTATTAAGCAATTTATTACGGAATTCGTGCAAAATGTCAAAAATAATTATAATTTAAAATTATATTTTAATATTAATTATAATTTAATTTAATTTAATAATTATTATAAATTATTGTTACAAATTATTATAATTTTTATTATGATAGTTTTTAAAATAATCATCAATCTCATAATTCATATTACAAGCAATTATTATTTATTATTTTATGCAAAATATCAGAAATAATTATAATTTAATTTAAATTAATAATAAACATTTTTCGAAATTATTATTACACAATGATAAGTTTAAAAATATCCGTTTATAGTTCATATCACAAACAATACTATTATTTATTTATTTGCATCTTTGTTAAAAAAATAATGAGAAACGAATCGTTCGTCTCATTAAATCTGTTTGACTTTTGCGAGCACATATTCTCGTTATGTCGGTTGTTATGAACGGTTGTCTTATTCGTAGCATCGTCATTATGTCGGTGTTTTCTTTTCTAAAATTGTAACTGCCGCTTGAATAGTTAACGTCCGAGAAATTTTACGGTTTGACTTAACAGCCGCGGCAATTCGCGCGAACGTTAACGTTTGCACAGTTTCGCACGAACCAACGAGTCGTTGTATTATCATCACGACATTTCGGGACCCCAATATTTCATCGTCGGTAGCATGCACGTAGCGCGCGATAACTGGACGAGGTAAAAGTTTCAGCTCTGGCAAAGTATCCAAATGTCAAATAAATCTTGCATCGATCAAGCGACCGAACAAACTGCGTTTCACATGCAGTTAATTAATCGTGCAGGAGAAAGGGAAAGAGACGAGTGTTTGTTACAGTTTATAACCTACATTATCAATAACTAATTTGTACAAAAAGTTGTAAATTAAACAAGAAATTAATGAGGTGTTACATATGTAAGAAAAGATACGTATGATATTTATTTCATTGTATTTTTAATAAAATTAAATAATAACACTATAAGAATTTCTAAAGAAATGCCACTTCTTTCTTAATTTTTCCACAGTTTGTATCAACGATACGCACAATATTATACATATATTGTATTAAGACTACAGTACAGATTTTTACATAAAGTTGCATAACGAATAAGACACAAGATATAAAAGAATCAATCATACAGTATAAATCATAAAATAAAGGACTCTGATTAATTGATTTTCTGATATCTTATACCTTATGCGTTATGCAGTATTATGCAAAAATCTGCTGCGATCTTTATGGTTTCTATACAAAAATTCGACCAATCAGAATATAAAAAGAATAATCGACTGTGATTGATGAATTTTTTACGACTTAAGACTTTTAAAGCTTAGATGATAGCTTATTTACAAAAGTTCATTATTTTAAAAGGAATAAAAAAAAATATAAATATACCCCTGGTGGGACTCGAACCCACAATCCCCGGTTTAGGAGACCGATGCCTTATCCATTAGGCCACAGGGGCGGTCGGTGGAAACGTCTTTAAATCACATAAAGCTCTGTCTAATAATTTAATTTTTTTTTAATTTTATAATACAAGATTAACAAAATGTAATCGATCTAACGCAAAATATCTTTGAGTTAATAGTATAATATAAAATTACCATTTTTATTAGCAGATCTGTGCAGATACGAAGCATATCCATCTCGAGATTATAGCTTCGTCGAGCCGGATATTCTATCAAGTTCTGTGCCAACGGATTCCTCATCCTCACCGTTAACGTCTCCACCGTTATCAGCGACGTTCTCGCTCCCAGGAACTTTGCTTCAACCACCCTTTCTAACAGCAATGCCACCCTTGATGCAATCGCTGAGCGTGCCTCAAACCCTCTCGACTTCCTCCACAGGTAAACTGGAATTTCTCTGATTTTCATTTTTTAACATTTAATCCTTTTTATATGCGATCTTTCGATCGCACTTTTAATACTATCTGTACGGAAGCGCTGTACACTTAAGCATTGATTGATATGCCACAGACAAGTGCCTCGGTAGCGCAGTAGGCAGCGCGTAAGTCTCATAATCTTAAGGTCGTGAGTTCGATCCTCACCCGGGGCATATTTTTTTTTCTTTTTTTTTATATACAAATGCACTAGTCACATTACGTTCCTTGATAACATACAAAAAAATAATACATATATTTTATAAAATATATATTTTTAAAATAATACATATATCGATGGCCAAAACAGGTGCTATGAGCCGTCACTTCGTTACTACAAATGGCATAACTGCTCTTCATAGAAGACCTAGAAGCGAGAAGAAACCAATTCCGGACGATCAGAAGGATGAGAAATATTATGAGAGACGTAAACGAAATAATCAGGCGGCGAAAAAATCACGAGACGCCCGCAAAATCAGGGAAGACCACGTAAGAACGCATGACTTTGAGACTCGACTTCAATCTAACTGTGATTATAATACATATATAATTCTATCGACGGAAATGTCCGTGTTACAATTTCGAGCTACGTAGCTCAATCTTCCTTTTCGAACAAAAAAATATATTAGGTATACAACTTTGCTTCCGCCGTTTTTCTATGTATGGCTTTAGCGGTAAGTGGTGATCGAAATAAATAGATCATAGACGTCATAAACTTGGGCATCTCTCAACATAGCCCTAGAAACATTAATCGATTTGTGTCTGCATCATAAAGTTATTCTCGATTGAAAATGTCAGTTTACGAGTCAAATTCTCATCACTTGCGGGAGGTTTTAATTTTCTACTTCAATATGAAGAAATCTGCGGCTGAGGCTCATCGAATGCTCTCAAATACTTATGATGAGGCCGCTATTAGTGAAAGAACGTGTCGTGAGTGGTTTCAACGCTTCGGTGATTTTGTTGACGTCGAAGATCGGCATAGTGGTGAAAGAGAGAAGGTTTTCGAAGATGCAGAATTGGAGGCATTACTTGATCAAGACTCGTATCAAAATCAAGAAGAATTGGCACGATCATTGGGAGTGACTCAACAAGCCATTTCAAAACACCTTAAAGTCATGGGAATGATTCAGAAGCAAAGAAATTGGGTGCCGTACGAGTTGAAGCCGAGAGATGTTGAATGGCGTTTGTTTGCTTGAACAGCTGCTTGGAAGGCAAAGACGGAAGGGATTTCTGCATCGCATTGTGACTGCGAAAATGGGTGAAAAATGGTTTCATTACGATAACCCCAAGCGCAAAAAATCATGGGGAGTTTCCGGCTTCTATCCATGCTTCTACGTCGACGGCCAAACCGAATATTCACGGCTCCAAGGTCATGCTCTGTATTTGGTGGGACCAGCTCGGCGTAGTGTATTATGAGCTGTTAAAACCGACTGAAATCACAGGCGATCAGTATCGAACGCAATTGATGCGTTTGAGCCGAGCATTGAAAGAACGGTCGCAATACAATGAGAGACACGATAAAGTGATTTTGCAGCATGCTCGATCCCATATTGCGAAAGTGGTCAAGATATATTTGGAAACGTTGAAATGGGAAGTCCTACCCCACCCGCCGTATTCTCCAGACGTTGCTCCCTCTGACTATTACTTGTTTCGATCAATGGCACACGGCTGACCAGCACTTCCGGTCTTATGAAGAAGTAAAAAATTGGATCGATTCGTGGATCGCCTCAAAAGATGACCAGTTTTTTCGACGCGGGATTCGTACGCTGCCCGAAAGATGGGAGAAAGTAGCCAGCGGTGGACAATACTTTGAATCATAAATGATAACCAGTTATAAGGTATAACCAGTTTTTTACAATAAAGCCTCGAATTTCGGAAAAAAATGGCGGAAGCAAAGTTGTACACCTAATATAATGATGTAATTAACTGTTAATTGATTAATAAAATACTTGACAATTAAATAATCACCGATTTTATTCTCAAATTTCGATACAGCGCACGATGTAAACTAAATTCAACATTGACAAGAAGCAAAGCATCATCATAACGTCATTAAGATGACGTCATCGAAATGGCTTTAAAATGATTAATGCCAGCATCTGCCAATGTTATAGTTTAATTTTAATCTTGTTATAATTCAACTAAACCTTTATCTTTTTCCAATGCCCATTTCTACTACTGTAGATAAATTTTAATCTTGGTTTATAACTTACTTTTTATTTTTTTTAATTCTAAGAATTAGAAAAGGATATAGAATAAATTAAACCGAGATTAAAATTAATCTACATTGGTACATAGAAACGAGCATAAAAATCACTTTTCAATTAGTCACGATTCATTTTAATGTCATTTACAATATTTGATGTTATCGTAACTTACGTTATTCTGCTTGGAGTTTTTAATTCGTGTATCTATATTTTCGCAGATTGCATTAAGGGCGACGATGTTGGAGCACGAGAATGCAATCTTAAAGGCGCAGATAGTGACTCTTCGAGAGGAGGCACAATCGTTACGGCACATGTTGATCAAGCAACGTACCCCAGCGATACAATCAATCGAACGATCGCTTTCGTCGATGACACCTGTGACACTCTCTCCTCCGCACACCGCAAGCCTAGATTGTTAATTTCTGAAGATTTCTTCGAAAAGCGTGTACGAATATACTTAAATATAGAAAACTCAATCCATGCAATTTACACAGACACGTTCACATAGTAACTTCTACAGCGAAAAGTTGCACAAAAGTTACAGCAACACTGCTGCAATATTACATGTTGCAGCAATGTTGCAAAGATTTTGCAGTGATATTGCTGTAAATTCTGTACTGTATGGGAAAAAATACGCGCGAAAATAATCTTTATTACGTCTTTATTCGTAACGATCGATTTTTATAAAGTAAAACAATTCGGAAAATATCCCGTATTGTTAAATATATTTCTCTTTCTCTGTGTTATGCAAATAACAGAAGAATCCGAAGAGATTTAATTCAGAGATTTTATTATTTATTATTGTTGGAATTATAATCAATTTTAAGTGTAATTATATATAATTGTTGCTTAAATGCTAATAAACAGAGATGGTTCAAGATATATAAACGGAAACTGATGTGTTTTTTTTATACAAATTAATCATCCCAAAAGTCAATTATTAATATCTCGCGAAAAAAGAGTAATTCTCCATGAAATTGATGTCAATTACTCGATTAAAAAAATTTACTATTGAGACATCTAGCGGCATACCGCTAAAAAATAAAACACTTTAAAATTTGTAATCAACAATCGGTATATACTTAAAAGATAACTATAAAGAAATTATAATCCTTTTTATATATACAAATACTTAAAAAAAACATTGATATTACATTTTAAAAATAAGAAGATGGAAAAGTTGGATAAAAATATTTAAATAAGGTATATCTATAATATGTGTGTGCATTTTTGCAAAGTAGATACGCTGTTTGTGAAGTTTTTTTTCAAAATGTCTCATTTAATTAATAACAACATTCCTAATTCAAGTTCTTTCTGTATAAACTATTTTACTTTTTTTTATAAGAAAAATTAGAGACAATAAGGACATGATAAATAATGTGTGGCAGTGATTTATAATTTATATATATGTATGTATACATAATACATATATACGTATATGCACACGTATACATGTGTTGATATTGATTCTCTTTTCGTTTTGTGTGTGTGTGTGTGTGTGTGTGTGTGTGTGTGTGTGTGTGTGTGTGTGTGTGTGTGTGGTGTGTGTGTGTATGTATAGGGAATTTATATACACTAAAAAGAATTAGATTGTCGCCCCACATGCCTATCTTATTTACCGTATAAAAAGTACTTTAATTACAATACAATAAGAAACATTGCGACGTACATTTGTTGAATTATGTATATATAAACCTTCTCGGTGTGCGTCTCTATGCTAATTTAACTATTTATACGAATACAGGCTACTCCTACAAGGAGAATGTAAATACAAAGACACATAAAGATGATACATAGACGTTCTAAGTAGATAGAAACGCGCAACTATTTTTATTTAAAGAAAAAAAAACAGAAAAAAAAGGAAGAGAGAACAATGTATACGTCCAACTATCTATTATCACGCACATCTACGTGTGTGTATTCGCGTCGAGTGACGCAAAGTCTCTAATTTTCACCGATGCGAGACTTTGCAAAGCTGCAAACACAGCATGTATCTTCTCGTGACACTTTTTAACGACACTGTCGCGTTTAACTTTACAATCATACTTATTCCTAAAGTGTCGGCGAGATCAAATTTTTACAAATGCCATTGACCTCGTCTAGAACGATGCTTTGAACGACATCTCGCGAAAGAAACTTATCGTTCGCAAAGAAAACTTATATCTCTAATTACAATTAACGATATACATATACAATGACACCATCTGATCGTTATACGGCCATGCCGTCGTCGTTCAGAGTTCCTACTCCGTTCCTTCACTCTCATACGCTAACATTTAAATATTCATCTAGGAAGGCATTACATACTTGTTTTTCTGTAAAAACCCAGAATCGATGACGATAACAATGTCGACAAAGACACGAATCGTTCGCAATGCAATTGCGTTCTAGACCGCGCGTCGATTCATTGAAAATGGCAGTAATCGTGGATGGTAACGCAGGATTATTCAAATCATTATACAAATCAATTGGCCGCTATTACAGCAGCCGCCGCCGCCGCCGCCGCTGCTGCTGTCGACGACGACGACGTTGACGAGGATGACGACGAGGACGACGATGATTTCTTCTTCAGCACGATATCCTTGATATTGAGATTGACTTTCTCCTTGTGCAGTGGCGGTACTGATTGCAGACAGAATCGCTTGAAGGCCTCCAGCTCGCGCTCATCATCGTCCATTTCCTCGTCGTTCTCGAGGTCTATATCTTTGGGCGTGAATACCTCTGTAAAAGACACGCTCTAAATACTGGATACACCGACAGCCCGCCTGCGAGTGCGACAATAATTGGCAAAATCTGCTGTGCATTACTTCTCTTTCTCTTGTCTACTGTGTGGGTAGAAGTATAAAGAGATGAGAAAAAAGGGCGACAACAATGTCAACGTGTGTTTAACGTCTTGGATATCGTCCAGACAATGTCGAGGCACTCGTCACGCATATTCGTGGAGAACATAAAATCAACGAAATATCCATGTTGGATTTGCGAACGCTTCTCGATGACGACAACCCACATGAACAATAGTACTCTATTAGAATCGTTATACTTCATTACCAATATAGTTGTTAATATTCGTTTTATTTTTCCTAACTTTCATCATCGTTGTCATTAATAAGATATTACTCAAAAATGTTTTAAGAAAACTGTCCTGAGAGTTCGTCTTTGTCTTCTCTTTTCTTATAAGACAGTGAAGTAACTTTAATATAATATCGTACAGAAAGAAAAAAAGAAGAAAAAAAAATAAAGGAAAGATAATGAGTGTGACTACCCATACTTGTACAGCATTTTAGGAAACGTCTAATCCGATAAAGGGGAAAAGAGAGTATAACATTGAAAAAAAGTAGCTCGCTCTTTTATTTAATATTATTAGTAGATTTAAAAAACATCATATACTATATCACATTCATGTATCTATCATCACAATAAGACGACTCCTATATTGTCAATATAGATCTAGTCGAGTAATTTGTCCATTAATTTTCATCGGTCGCGTTAAAATTGAGACTGAAAAAGATATAATAAAAATATCGGATATGATTTTATACCAGTATTTTTCGGTTTTATCTATTTATATATATATTTATAAACATTATATATATATATATATACATATATATATATATATATATATATTAATAAAATATATAAATATAAATATAGGATATAAATATATATATAATATAAATATATATATTTTATAATACATTTTGTTATATCATTTTATACGATAAAACTAACTCAATATAAATATCAATACAATGTATGTACTAATATACAGATAATTTTTCAGTGTAATACGTTATTATTATATAATACTGATATAATATAATTCTATGCTCATCCAATAAATTGTAGTAAATTCTCTCTATCATTATTTAAAAAAGATATATAATAATATTTAAATAAATTCGGAATTTTTTGATTATTATATATTCTAATAATCCAGTATAATTACAAGTTTCTAATTGCAGTTTTATCAAAATAAAAATGCGATATACACAGTATTACCGTTGGCACTATTTTCAGAATTCAATTTCTAATTTAAAATAATCTTGTATTGTGTATGAATTTTCTCCCGTCCCCTATCTTCCATTATCATACATTCGTTCATCTTTATTGTATTTGCACGACGCCTTTATCGAGACGGCACTGCCTCACGTTCTGCGTTTAAATGGGAAAAAAAATAAAAATCGCAAAAATTCATGTCTACATCCAGATACAATTAATTACTCTTTAAAAAAAGAGCAAAGTAATTTGGATCGTTGGAATGAATCTTGTGGATCTGAAAAAAATTAAAGAAAGAAAATCTCACTGACCATTTGACTTCTTTTTTTCCTACAGCGATCTTCTCAAGAAATCAAATCTCTTCCTCTACTTTCCATTCTCTTTTCCTTCTTTCATTCGCGAATACTTGATATCTCAAAAAATTTTTATAATAACCTAGCAGACGACATAGTATCCTAACGTAGGGCAGTGCTCTCTCTCTTGACGCTCTCTTGATGCTCTCTCTGGCACGAAGTGAAAGAAACAAAATCATTTATATAGTGCGATGAACCTACAAGCGTCCAAAGGAGATACGTATGGGTAGTTTCCTTCATAAAAGAAAGAAACGAGGATTTAGCCGCTGCGAACGTGAGAAACAACCCGGGGAGGATGCGTGCTGTGTAATGTATTTGTGTAATGTATAACGTGTGTTAAAGAAAATAAACAAAATGAAAGAAGCAGATTTACATGTTAAAGTCTGATTATTGTTGTTTCTCACCAACGAGGTCCAAGTCATCTCCGCACTGTCCCGTGCCGCTTCCGCGTTTTTTCTTTTTCTTGCTCTTGCCACTGCTTCCGCCGCCATTGGCCAAAGTAGCGTTTATTGCCACTTCTTTCACCGCCGTACACTTCGCTGATGCCTGTCGCGCGTCCTCCATACTCGTTGCCTCGGGTCTCACCTTCGTCAGGGTGACGCTGGTACCCTTGAGATTGATGCCGTTCTCTGGTATCGGTTGGCCATTTGTCATCTGGCTGATCTGGATATTGGCGAGCTCGGACAAGGATGACGTGCAATCTGACTGCGCGCTCAATCGACTGCGCAATTCCGCCAGGCTCGATGATATGACACCGTTGGCATGTTTCACGCTCAGCTGACCGCAATCATTCGTTGTCGTTCTACCCGTCGATGACGACGATAAATCGCCCTTGACTATGTAATCTGGCTTAGGTGGTGACGTCAAGCCCGCATTGATCGCCTGTTGCAGAGCCGGACTTCGGATCGTCACCATGCCGTTCTCCGAAACTTTAATGATCGCAGCCTGCTGTGTCGGTGGCACTTTCATCGGTCCAAACGATGGATTCCTGATAGTCACCATGTTAGTTCCGGGATTGTGCAGTATCCTCGCCGGTTCGTCGATCATGTGATCATTCACGAACGCGTCGTTGTTTTGCACCGGCGACGAAACCGCAGTGTTGCCCGAAGTATTGGCCGAATTCTTATTTTTCTTCTTTTTCTTTTTACCGGTAGTAATATTTTGAGGCTGCGAATCTTTCGATGAATCTATATAGAGAAAATAAATTAAATTTGTATAAAATATTGATGAAAATAACATAAACCTTGAAAATATAAACTAATGTAAACATTGACTAAAAGA